TATCAGAAAAATTAGGAAAAATAATAGTGATACAAATTCATGAATTTATAGTCTCCGCTGAAGGCTGAACAGGGCAGTAGTAGTATGGTGACAGCAGGCTGCTAGCCAAGTTGGTAGACAGTATTTTACGTCAATATGCATGTCTCAAATATTGATCGTGAGAAAATATGAACCATGACTGATTCAACAATCAACCACAGCACACTTTGCGTAGGCGGATACAGTTAACATATAGATCACCTGAAATTCAAGAAACAGCCACAAAGAGATGCAAGGTTAACTTTCTGTGAGAAACAACCAGTCAGAAGACTGTGTTTGTTTGCTTGAATAAGTTATAATAATGTGCATGAAATTATATTAATACGCGTTGATTTCCTTAATAAACGATCTGTTGCCTGGCGCTTATCTTCTGTTGTTACAGTAGCAGTGACTGGACTTGCTTCTTCTGAACACAGAGCACCGGTTGTTTCAGGTGAATCACAATAACGTCTGGTGTATGGGATATTTTTTATTTTTATTTTTTTTATTTTTGATTACAGCTTGATTCCACACCGTATTTTTGGTACAAGTGTGGAATTTTCAGCGTGGATATCGGTAGCCCAAAATTCGCAGGCCGACCATAGATATCAGGTGTGCGTCGGCGTGGGCTCGAACCCCGGACCATGTGCATGGTAGGTGAGGATCCTAACCACTGTGCCACCGACGCGGTACCAGGATGCTACCCAATAGAGATGATAGAGAAGGAATCTTCATTGTTTTCTAGCTTTGTGGTCAGTTTGGTGCAGGTGGTCTAATACTGAGTTATAGATCGTCAATTTCACTGCACCCTTATTTCACCACACTGATAGATATTCCAAAAAAAGCACAGAAAATCAAGTTCCTAGATTAATATGGGTAATATAACTCGCTGCATCACAAGCGTAGTTAAATTAGTCCACCTGATTTAAACTGACCACAAAGACAGCCAGTATTGGAGAATCCTTCTCTATCATCTATTGGGTAGGAAATAAATTGCCAAAAGCACCCAAGTACCACATATCCCAAACAGCAGAGGCTATTGCGATTCGCTTAAAACAACCAGTGTTCTGTGTACAGAAGAAGCAAGTCCAGCCAGTACTACCACTGCTCTGGTTGGCCTTCAATGGAGACTATAAATTCATGAATTTGTAATATTATGGTTTCTCCTAATTCCTCTGATATTCAGTGTGTATTGTTATGTTGATGATATCAAAACCTAATCCGTTGATATTATTATTATTATTACTGATTCGATGTTATTTAGACCGCATTAATGTTGTTGTTAGTATCACTAATTCATTCACTATTATGGATGGATGCATATAACTGTAGAATCTGATGAAGACCAGGTTATCGAAAAGGACATTCTTTGCTCAGTAACCATTCTTTTGAAAGAATATACAATTCTTCTTGCCTTAATTAGTCGTTTTTCTCTTCAAATGTGTATATGAAAATGACTAAATTGTTAAAATAATTAATTGTGATTGGACACTAGTAAGTAACTAGTGTAGTGTGTCTACTCCTATCTTCGGTGCAGACTGAATTCTATCAGTCAAGCTTGCAATGTGACCACCATGCTGAGTGGTTCACCATTACGTTTCACTGTGAATTGTTGCTATTAGATGGTTGAAGGTAATCGACAGGAAGCCTTGGCTGTACGTAGGTTTCGTGCTAGTTGGCACTCTTCAGCAAGATGTATTTGTAAACGTGAAGGAACTCATGCCCGTCTTGATATTTGAACCTGTGTCACCAAGTGCTGTAGTCAGAGACGTTACCACTGAGCCATTAGGACTCACGATTGAACTCCTGTAGGATTGTAGTGGATAATTTGATTGGACACTAGAAACTAGTGTGACGTGTCTGGTCCTTTTTTTGGTGTAGACTGAATTCTATCGTTCTGGTCAGTCAGTCACACTAGTTACCAGTGTCCAATCATATTATCCACTACAGTCCTACAGGAGTTTAGTCGCGAGCCCGAATAGCTCAGTGGTAACGTCTCTGAATGCAGCACTGATTGACACGGGTTCAAATCATAGGAGGGACATGAGTTCCCTCAAGGTGACTACAGATACGCCTTGCTGAAGAGTGCCAACTAGCACAAAACCTAAATGTGTCCAAGGCTTCATCCAACCATCTAATAGAATTGATGGTTTTGTGCAGACACTTTGTAATTGCTGAGAAATGCAGTCCGATTGCGTAACTATCACAAACCATTTCCTATAAAGCTGGAATTCTTTGCAACCTAAGTGGAACTTGTATTCTTTACAGTCTAGTTAGTAATTTATGAATAATCCTCCGCCAAGCTTTAATGAAAAAAGAAATCAAGTGTAATTCAAAAAGAAGGCTCCCTTTTCGATAATTTCATCCTTCTATTTCTCTGTACAATTGTAACTATGTACAATTCCCAAAAATGGAGTCGGTAACAAAAGAGATTGACTGTCTTAGGTATAATTGGTAATATTCATCAATACATAAGGGAACTTGATAAACTCAAGGTAGATAGAGCTACCTAATAACATAGACTATTTAATGAGTTATTGTGGTGATTGACAATTTCTATCTCTGTATTGTTTAAATACTTACTGTTGACTGTTGATATGTTTCTTATATGAATTGAATAATAATTCCGCTAAATACAAATTCCTAAGTTCTGCCCTCTCGGTGTTTTGGTTGGATTCTTGTAATTCGGTCATCTCGAAATACTAATACTACAATTACAATAAATTACTACAGTTATATTCGAGGAAGGTCACAATTATCCAATGCTACGCACCTATGAACAACGTGGAAGATCTGGATTTTACAAATGGTTTATGTTTAATCTCACATAAACTCGTTGACTTGAAGGCAAAAATCAACAAACTGTCATGAAAAAAAAACACAGTGAAGAGAGGACTGCAGGTGAACATAGAAAAGGCATAAGTGATGAAGGTAACACACAAACTGCAAAAAGAACAATTAGCAGCAATTAACATCAACGGGAGAGATTTGACGAGAGTTACTTCTTTCACTTATCAAGGAGTCATGGTCTCAACTACAGGGCATCAGAAAGGATGAAGATATCAAAGCCAGCCAGCCAACCAGAATCTGGAAGGCAAGATGCACCTTCATCGAACTGAAACCAGTTAGGAAATCTTCTGAACTCTGCCCTAGCACAAAAAAACGAGATTCGGGTTTTCAGCACAAATATAAAGTCAATTAGTCAGTTGTTGAGTTCTTCTATTTGGAGCAGAAACTTTCACCGCGTGTCTGTCTGTTTTCGACATAGAACTTTGCACAAATGTGCGGAAGTTCAAGTCGCCACACTCCGTGTAGCACGCGAAGCAAGAGAAGAAAGTACAAGAAAAGCATAATAGAAACAGTGAGCAGAGGGGTGAGACAAAGGAGGAGTAATAACGAAGAACAAAACAGTTTCATTGGAAATCATAAGTCACAAGGAGTGGATGCATCTGCAATAGCCACTGAGAACGATTTTGAGCCATGTCACCAATTGTTTCCAACCATTGGTTTTTACCGTCCCGAGGACCCCAGCCAGGAAGTCTACACCTTTCTACGTGGCTTAGACCAACTGTTGTGGATTTCATTGACTGATGATGCCAAGTTTTTGTTTGACCGCCGCTAGCTTTTTTCCAGCCTGACCCTATATCCGCTAACATAGCTCGTCGAGGAAGGCGATGGCTTGGCATACGTAACACATGTCCTAACCATCTCAGTCTTTGTAGCTTCACGACTTCGTCGATAGATTTCCCCTGTTTACCTAGAACTCGACGCCTAACCTCAATGTTGCTCACCTTATTATGCCACTTTACACGCGTGTCACAGTCACGAAGAGCATTTCCAAAAGACAGCTGCCACTTTCACTGGCTGGCACCATACTGAACATCAAATGGTCGGCCAGGAAAAATTAGCAATAAGAAACCCTGGGGCTATCAATAAACCAAGAGGTAAGAACTGATTGCTCAAGAGATATGAAGGAGAAATTGGAGATGGATTGATCGGACATACTTTGAGGAGGTTATCGAGTGACATTGTGCACCCCACACAGATCATCACTCCAGTGGAATCCCAATGTAAAGTGACGAATGTGTCGTCATTGCGAGTGTGACATGGAGGAGATCGCGAGTGGGGGATGAGGAGAGGGCGATGAAAGATTATGGTCAATCATGGGCTCAACTGAAGAGGACGTCAGAGAGTAGAAGAAAGTAGAGATGTCTTATTGAAGCCCTATGTTCCACTCGGAACCCAAGGGAATAATAGTAGTAATGCATTCGAGGAGAGGTAAAAAGATAGAAACAATGGTATTGTGATATATCTGAGATTGATTGATTGAGTCAGTGTTGACAAGGTGTTCAACCATTACATTCCTTATGAAGCCACTTTTATCTGCAACCACGCAAGTTAGGTCTTCATGAGCTGTTTTAGACAAGGCTAGAATTGATGAAGAGAAGTTAGTTATCAGAAGCAGATTTCTGCATGCACCACGCCAAAAGTTACATATCTTCTGTTAGAGTTAATGATACTATCCAGTTGCTGAGTCTAAAAAAAACTGAATGAAGTGGAACTCGAAGCCACTACAGACTGATTGAAAACTCAACTTCTAGTAGGTCATATCTGCGTTTCTTTTATTCTATACTGATAAGTAATATTGGTGCATTGGTAGTACAATGATTCAATGCTCGCCGATCATGCTTCATGTGGTCCGCGGTTCGATCCCCAGCCACAGACGCACTAATTTACCTCGTTAACGAGGGAAGGTTGGGCTGGACATGAGGCTAGAGACCTCATCCCTTAAAAATAATCACCACTGCTACTGAACTTCAAGCCCCCTATGTTCCACTGGGAACGTAAACGAATAAAGAAAAATTGAGTAATATTGATTCTCAATAGCTATTTCTTAAATATTATAAGTATTGGCGATATAATTTGCGAAAATAGACGTATATCTAACCTACATTAACTTGTCTGTTAATTTCCTATTTTAGCCGATAAAAGCTCTAAAGCGTATACTCATTGCTGGTCTCCTGTTACGTGCAACACTGAACCTTATCAGGTAAGCTGTCATCAATAGGGTCATCGCAATTTGATTGACTTTTGCTTTAAAATCAAATTATTCTATTGTGTTAGTATTATGTAGTTGTCAGTGGTCGATGAAATATCGGTGTTTCAGTAGTCGATTGTCCGCTATAACTAGGCATCTCGTTCAAGTTCGATTCCTGGCAAGCGCACTGATGAACCTCGCGGAGAAGGTACTTAGGCGGGTAAAGATGGAAGGCTGGCAGTGGAGCTATCACACCTATCCCATAGAAACACCGCCCCCCCGCTACTGAAACTTCAAAGCGAGCAGCTAGAAGACCTAGAGTGTACTCGGGATGTAAAATAGTGGATAAAGACATATTTGACCTCTTGTGTTGCCACTGGCTCAGTATTTTGATGATAGAGAGTTTTCAGATTGTAGAAAATACCCGTTAGGACATAAGAAATAAGAGTGACAATTATTTTGAACTAGATGTGGTTTACGAGAGGCCTAGAAACAAAATTACACAGGATTATAATAAATTACAAGTGTGTAAAAAATAAGCATGGAGACAAATTGAAATAATAATTTTCAACTTGAGATGGGAGTCAGGAGGTGCGAATATAGATTACAACAGGCAAAGAGACAAAAAATTACACAGGATTAGAATATAACTGTAAAATAGTTATTCTAAACGGATAACGAGTGTGATCACGAGCAGCATGGGAATAAACTTAAAATAACTGATTTTATAACTGAAAAAATATCGTGAATTGAATGAATACACAGAGAACAGGAATTACACACACACAGCGAACGAAAAAAAACCTTGAAAAGAAAACGAAAAAATGCAGGCTAAGGGAACATTCCGAACCAGGTCAACAGTAGTCGTAGAGGTTGGACTACTATCTGTTGAACGCACAGCTCTGGTTTTTCGATTCATATTGCGAGAACTTCTGAGAAGTCGGAAACATACCGCTTCTGGTAGGTGTCTATTGACTGACTTTGTAAATTACTTTGAATGAATCAGTTGAGATGTTGTTTGAGGTGTTGATAAGATGTTCAGTAATGGCACTTCTGATTGAACCGGTGCTTCTTCTTTGCAGTCATGTTAGGTAATGTTCTCTAACACCTTTTGGAAGGACTCGCATACAACGACCTATGTACCTAGGTCCATACGAGCGGGTGAACTGGTAAATACACATTGAATTGGTCATATGCGAGAGATTTTCCTTCGCATTGTTTCGAGGTACTGGGAGACTAGATAATGTCACTCTTAGTATTGCTTCAGTGAAGGTTTTCTCTAAAGTGCTGGATATTCTCCTCTGAAGGATATTGACTGACATCAGAAGATTTCTCTAATGCGATGGGTTAGTGAAATGATGAGAGCTCGTTTTCAATTCACAGATATGCATGTATTGAAATACGTTAGTTGACCATTCCATGATGGTTTTCTGTGGATAGATCTCTTCAGGTTTCTATCATCTCTTCTTGTTAATTCCACATCCAGAAATGGAATCATTGAATCGTTTTCTAATTCCAGTGTGAATTTAATCGAAGGATGGGAATTATTAAATTCCTGTAAGATACACTTGAAGTCAGAATTATCGTAGCAGACTGTGAAGTTATCGTCAACGTACCTTTTTTAGAACAAAATATTGACAGTGAACAATTGTTGCTGCAATAAATTCTTCTTCAGGCTCTACAATTATAAATCCATTAATCTAAGCATACAATCGCCAGTAAAGGCAAATTAGAATCATATCATACCTATTTTACTATAATAATTTGTTTATTTTGAATTTTAAAACGCCGCTTTGCAAACAGGCCATAAAGCAGTATGCTAAAAAAGCGGACGAAGAGGAGATCCTATTTCAATTCCATCTTTCTGTCTGTAGATGTCACCATTGATCGCCAACTGTACGTACATTCAGCGTGCATCTTAGCAACAATTCTTTCAGATATGATGTTGGTATTCCTATAAGTATATATTCGAGTTGTCCATATAACTGCACTGGAAAAGAGATTGTTTCTGTTTTGCAGATGAAACCACCGAAAAGTTCTCCATCTTTACTGAACTTCGTGTTCTCTTATAGATAGAGAGTTTTGTTTAATCAGGCATTCATGAGTTATTGGATTCCAGTCGAGTGACTCTATATTAACGGGTTCTTATTCTCGTAGTGTAGTGAGTGAGCACTGATGAAAGGTCTTTAACTAGGTTTACACTATTATCAAGTTCTTCTTGGTGTACAGCGATTCTCCGAATGATGTTGATTCGCTTGATATGATCTACACGAAAATATCGATTTGAGTATTTAATCAATAAAAATGTAATACTTCATTCAGTCGATGTTAGTTAGAATGATATGTGGAGAACATTTTGTAGCTCAGGTGGATGATACTGAATTAGTTGTATTCTCTGAGATGTTTGATTTAATTACGGAGCTTTCATCCTCCTTCCAGACAACATCCTCAGACCAGGTTTTAATGTAGAATAAACTTATTTGAGTTCTCCCTGAAAGATGTAATTGTATTTCCTGGCAAGATATGGGTCTCAATTGTTGTCATTCCACATAGATGTATCAGAAACGTTAGACAATATCACGAGAATACTCAATAAGCGCAACATCACAGTTTTCCTACTAAAAACTGCAGACACGCACACTACAAAAGCAACCTTGTCCATGTAGACTACCAAATTCCAAGGAATTCTTAATCTTGATAAATTTCGATAAAGAAAGGAAGACGAAATTTGCAGTATAAAATGATATCGTCATTCTATTTCACAGGTTCTCATCAGCTGCAGACTACCTGAAATTACAGTGGTTATATAGATGATAATAACATACTTTAATGTTCAAGTGGTGGTAGAAAAGAGATACTATAAAACTGACGCATCTAAATGAAAGCATCACAATGTTTTTAGTTTAAGTTTTCATCATCAATTTATACGCTTTTAAATTTGAAAAGAGGGGGAAGGGTAAGAGAGAAAACAGAAAAAATTGATTAACAGAACAGTGTTAGCCTTTAGGTTCACATAGCAACTCAAGAAACAAAAACGGTTACAGTTTATGAGATTAAGATTTGTTCAGTGAGTTGAGATCACCGAATTAGATGACTAACCAAAATCAAAATTCTGTTACCAAGGGAGTGAGAGGTTAATCACACTCTCTTTCTGTATGCGTAAGTCTGGTTTAAGTCTTTTGATTGCGATTGCTTCGGCAAATCGTAGTAAATTTGCTGTCCTTTGTCTATTTAAGATTTTGAAGGACTTAGAAATCTCTACGAGATGTCCGGTATCAATAATGTGTCTGGTAATTGCACTCTGGGAATATCTGCTTCCTTTCAGGCACAGGTTTTGGGAATATGTTCAGAAAACCGGATAGAAGCCCTTTTGTAACCGTTTTTGTTTCTTGAGTTGCTATGTGAACCTAAAAGCTGACACTGTTCTGTTAATCAATTTTTTCTGTTTTCTCTCTTACCCTTCCCCTCTTTTCAAATTTAAAAGCGTATAAATTGATGATGAAAACTTAAACTAAAAACATTGTGATGCTTTCATTTAGATGCGTCAGTTTTATAGTATCTCTTTTCTACCACCACTTGAACATTAAAGTATGTTATTATCATCTATATAACCACTGTAATTTCAGGTAGTCTATGGCAGCTGATGAGAACCTGTGAAATAGAATGACGATATCATTTTATACTGCAAATTTCGTCTTCCTTTCTTTTTCGAGATTCCTAATCTGTTTGTGTCTATAAAATAAAATGTTTGCTTGAAATGCGATGCGACATACATCGGACAAACATTGCCAGAGAGAGAAATCGAGATGAGAAACAAATGAACAGCATAGAGCATCTGTTATACCACCGAGATATCCAGTTGAACTAGAAAAGCTTGTAAAATCATCAGCCATGTAGAATCAGGCCACAAAATTGATTTTTACAATAGTGAAACAATTTCAAGAGTTGGTTTGTAAGGATTCGATTTGGTTTTTACGAGTTTAACCCCAGTGAGTGCGTACTATCTATGATTCCCAAACTAGGATGAAACAACTGGCTGTCCAGTACTCTCTGGTTTTCAATGCTTTTCAAACTGATATCAAGCTTATGAGGAAATTGGTATAATCCACAAAAATTTCAGAAATCACAAAGAACGTCTAATATCGAAAGCACTTCATATCAAGTGGAATCCAAATTGTTTGAGCTGAATAGGAATGATGGAATAAAACAGAATTTAACCTGGTTACAGTACCACCCCTCCTCCATGATACGACAACATCAACACGAATGTGATAAGCAATTTCATTATTTAAAAACACACGCTGCTTTAACCATTTTATACACTTATCAAATCCAACAGTCATCTACACGTGATGGTTTTGTTATCTTCACCAAATGGCCAATTTGACAATGCTATTTGATAAAGCTATTGGAGGCATTCACTAGTGAAACGTCAGTAAACACAACAGCAATATCGTTTTGTTTTACATTCATTGGGAAAAACAAAATCCTTTTTTATAATAAATATCAAATACCCAATGCCCAAATTTTTTCAAACTGTTACTAGTGAACTTAGTTTGCACATATAAAATAATAAATACATAATTTTTCTTTCACGTTCCCAGTGGAACATAGGGCCTCAAGCTAGTGGCTTGAAGTTTCTGCAACAGTGTTTATTTTTTAAAGGATGGGGTTGCTGGCCTCATGTCCAACCTTTCCTCTTTACCAGCATTATTTATGGCTATGCGACTTAAAGGAGTGCGTCTATGGCCGGGGATCGAACCCTGGACCATGTGTATGGTCGGCGTGCGTCTTAACCGCAGTGCCACCGACGCTCCAAAAATACATATATATAATGACATATTGAATTCATAGTTCACATGTTGGAGGATCCCGAGGATAATTAGAATGTAGTGGTTTTTGAACGACGGATATTCTTCTCGACACCTTCCTTCTATTCAGTTATTGTTAGAGTTTAAGCATCATGACAGAAAATAATTCCACATCAATCCGTGGTCAAACCCGTATAAACA